ATCAGTCATTGATTAGCTCTTAAAATATGTTTCAATCCATGCATTTTTTTAACACTTGAAATTCAATGTTTTCATTCTCCTTCTAACACATATCATTCTATTGGTTTACTTCCATGGTGTGATTTTATGAATACATTTATGTTTTATTTCTATTTTTATTTATTTTCATCTACTTAGAGAGAGAGATAGAAATGAGAGAGATTGAGAGAGAGCAAGCTTCCATCCACTGGTTCACTCCCCCAGATGCCTGCAACAACCAAGGTTGGTACTAGCCAAAGCCAGGAGCCTGGGATTCCATATGGTTCTCCCACTGGGCGGCTGCCTCCAAGGGTGCACATTAGCAGGAACATGATTGGAAGCAGAGGCAGAGGTGGAGCCAAGACTCATCTCAGGCACTGTCACACAGGATGTGGGCATGCCAAGCAGGCTCTTAATACCATAACACTCAAACTGCGGTTAATTTCTTTGACATTGTTATTTGGTAACAAGAATTATTAGTCTGCTTTACGGTGTTATAAGAAAATATTTGGTAATTTATAAACAACAGAAATTTATTTGACTCATAGTCTGGACGCTGGGAAGTACAGGCCGAGGTGACGCAGCTGCCAGATAACATGGAGGAAGGCATCACACGGGAGAAAGCATCTGAGAGCGCAAAGGTGGGGCCAAACTCACTCCTTATAAGGATGCCATCCCTAAGATAATGAGCTGGTGTAGGCCAGGTTATCCTAATTTGCATTCCAGGTCCTTACTCCAACAGAGACTAGAATTCAAAGTGGAGACCTCTCTATATATAAATGTATATGTACATTTATATGTACATATAAAACAAGTATGAGCTGGATTTATTGGACTATAAGGGAATAAATGTACATTCATGGGTTATTGTGGGTCACTCCATGCAGAGAAACACTCATAATGAGTAGGCCAGAGGGTTGCCGATGAAAAGGGGGAAGAGCAAAAAAAGCAATGTTTCCAAATATGGTCCTTGCTTTAAAGAGACCTCTTTCCAGTCCTCAGCCTCAGTAGAGGGTGACACCTTTTCAGACACAGAAATGAAGTGGGGTCTTAGAATGCATCCTGATCCCAGAAGAAGCAAGTGCATCCTGGGATTGTGGGCATATCAAGCCAATAGTTAACAAGAAAAATATTACATTGCAGGGCTGCAAGCATTCCAGCTCACCTAGAACTTAACTAGCTGAGTAGTTACACCATATGGAATCCACTCCCATAATCAAGGCATTAATCCATGTGTGAAATCAAAAGCTCATGAAATAAATACCTTTTAAAGTGCTTATCTCTCAATACTGCTCCACTGTGAATGAAATTTCTAAGATGAATTTGGGGGGACACATTCAAATCATAACAAAAACAATGAAATCTTCAAATCCTCATAAACAAATATAGATGTTCCTCAAAACGGGGTTATATCACAATAAGCACATCAATTGGAAATAGTACAAGTCAAAATTGCATTTCACACCTCTAACCTTTTAAACATCATAGCCTAACCCAGCCTGCCTTAAATGTACTCAGAACACTTTCACTAGCCTATACTTGGCCAAAGCCATTTATACATGAAGCCTAATTTCTAATAGCATATGAACTATATCATATAACTTATTAAATACAGTGCACTGTACAATGTTATTTGTTGAGCAGAAGCTGCAGCTCACTGCCACCATCCAGCAACACAAGAGAATATCATACCAAATACCACCAGGCAAGAAAAGGTCAAAATTCAGAATCTGAAGTACGGTGCCTACTGAGTATGTATGATTTCATTCACTCATACATTGAATCTAAGAGAGCACTTGCATTAACATTTCTAAAGCTCAGTACATAAAATAAGTGCATATAAACTAAAAACATAAAATGTAACACATGCTGAATTTTAAACTCTAATACAAACCCAATCTCATATATGCATGATTGTAAGTATGTGTATGTAAAGCATGAAGCTTTGTTTGACTTAGGAAGTATATAAGAAGAACAGATATCAAGTACTTGCTTTAATTTTATTATTAGAGGAGGCTTCAAAGAACTCTTAAAGAAGTAGAATTAAAGGATAATGCACAATTTCCATGAACACTTCAAGTCCCCTTCATTTACACAGATTGATTATACATCATAAAATACATACTACTGTAGTAACACTCAGGTATGTGTTTTAAAGAAAGAATATTTGAAAAAATAGCACCATTCACAGAATTTCTTCAAAGTGAGAAATCATAACAGTTATTGATTGAATTAGGATTGTAACTCAGTTGTAAATGCAATAGCCAAATGAAAAAATAGTCTTCACAGATAACCCTGAACCTGTTTAACTTGTGAACAGAACTATAGGTATTGACTAAGTCTCCAAGAAACAGGGGTCAATATTGAGAGAAATTATGACTTTCAACATCAATATTGAAAAAGAAAATATTTTAAGTGAATGCAAAAGTTTGATAATATTGATAAAAATTATATATTCAGATATATTTTCTTTAGGTGGGCAGGCATTCTGATACAGTGAATTAAGCCACTGCTGCTTAGGACATCTGCATCCTGTATGAAGAGTGCCTGCTATCTGTATGCTTCAACTTTCTATCCAGCTTCCCATTAATGCACTTGGGAGAAAGCAGAAGATGGCCAATGACTTGGGAGACGCAAATGGAGTTCCAGGCCCTGGCTTTGGCCTAGCCAAGCTCCAGCTATTGCAGGCATTTGGGGAGTAAACCTCTCTCTCAGTATCTTCCAAATAAATAAATAAACTTTATAAAAAGGAAAACTGAAATTTATGATGCCATTGTTATTGCACTAGGTGCATTATGGAGATATTTTTATTAAAATTGTGAGTAAGGCCGGCTTCGTGGCTCACTAGGCTAATCCTCCGCCTGCAGCACTGGCACTCCAGGTTCTAGTCCCGGTCGGGACACCGGATTCTGTCCCGGTTGCTCCTCTTCCAGTCCAGCTCTCTGCTGTGGCCCAGGAGTGCAGTGGAGGATGGCCCAAGTCCTTGGGCCCTGCACCCGCATGGGAGACCAGGAGAAGCACCATGCTCCTGTCCTCGGATCAGCACGGTGCACCAGCCACAGCGAGCCAGCCGCAGCAGCCATTGGGGAGTGAACCAGTGGAAAAGGAAGACCTTTCTCTCTGTCTCTCTCTCTCATTGTCCACTCTGCCTGTCCAAAAAAAAAAAAAAAAAAAGTAAAGTGAGTAAAACTTTTGCAAAATATTTCATGGATATACATGTGTCATTCTTGAAAAACAAATCAGATATCAGGCTACATAATAATAAGTCTCTTAAAATTGGGGATTCACAGATAAGATGCACATACTCCTATTTAATTTCATATTTACATGTATACTCGTAATTTCAGATACATATGTCTTACAAGTTACATATTCATCTATTTTAATATACATATATATGTAAGATATATGTATATATGAAACTAAATGAATCTTGCAACAAATGTGTGCACAAATCTTATAATTTTTCATATATACTAATATACCTTCATTTAGACATGAAAAATACAAATATCTTTATATCAGCAAGGAGACTCTCCACCAACCAGATTTTTTTTATTACTTCTTAGATTTCAATGGGTAGACTTTAAGAGAATTATAAAATCATAGCATGAAAATTTATGTATGCTACATAAGGTATTTTTAATGAGTGAATCTATTGCTTTCCTAAAGGTTATGACAAATTATTCAAGTAGAAGAAACTCACATCTGAGTTTTGATAGCGCACACATACTATGGTTGTAGCTAGTTTATAATCCACATTTTTCACATGACTATCTTAAAGTTATTTAACATCTCTGAATCTCAATTTTCTAATCTATAAAATAAATATAATAGCATGACCTGCTCAGAGGTACATTTATCATGAAGTTAATGGTGTTCAGAGCTCTCACAGTATGGGCAGGTTACCAGGTGTTTTATAAAATTTACAAACTTGTACATTCTTGTGGATAAAGATACTCCCCCAAACTGTGTAATTTAGTACCCATCAAGATTGGACTCGTGTCTTGTTTACCTGAGTGATCATGCTGATGATTAAACTAGATAATTCATGTAAATCTTTAGCACTATGTGTATAACACACAAAAAAAACAATTAGTGCTTATTATCCTTAAAGTATCACAGACAACTTTCTTGTGTTTATTTTACCTATTGCTACATACAATTGATTTTGAGTGAGTAGAGTTTACAGACTAACTTAATATATTAAGTCGTCCCAGGAGATTTAGAAAAGGAAAGAGTATGAAAGAGATTGACTTAAGTATAAGAATTACAAGTATTCATACATGTTTAAGAAGGAATTATCTTTTAGGATTTAATCGAGATCATGTTTGCCTTGTGCTGAAGAAAATTCAAGACATTTATTCAGAGAAAAATGTGATACCATGTAGAGAAAATCGCCTCAGTGAAACCTCACACACTTGTCAGTTGGCTATTAAAAGAAAAAATGAGTAAATGGTTGAGCTCACCAGAATTACCCAAGTCTTATCACGTCTGTGCAGAATCATCTAAGTATTCAAAGATTTAGACATGTACACAAAAACAGCCACGCAAATATCTGAGTCACGGTTTTGCAGTTTGGAACACGTACTTATTGTATATTCATGATGTAAACCATATTTATATACCTATTTTACAATTCATAATATAAATTATATCATACTTTTAAATCACATACCTATAAATAGCAAATATGAACTATTTCTCTAAAGTTGATTAATCACACAAAGAATCACAGTGAATATTATTGACTTATGATTAACTCTGCCATTTGGCTTTTCTGCTGTTTTCATCAAATGGAGATTTATATAATATATATATGTGTGTATGAGCTAGTTATGAATAAAATTCACCACCAAAATATGACTTGTATTTCAAATAATAATAATTTGAATATAATCTTCATTGAATCAATGAGTTAAAATAGGAATTTATTTTATGCTTCAAGACAGAACTAGTTTAAAATTAATATGATAGACTTGAATCTAATAAGAACCTAAATCTTAAAACATTAAACCCTCAAGAATGTTGATTTATATACATATATCAAATTGCTTTTTGAACAGTTTCAATGTTATAAGTATGCACGCATAATGTAATTTAATGTTTACAGATTTATTTTCAACTACTTGAAAAGCTGAGCGGGAGAGAGAAAGAGAGACAGAGACAGAGTTCTTCTCTTCACTGACTTACTCCCCAAATGCCCAAAAAAGTTAGGATTCGAAGCCAGAAACTCAAAACTTCCTCAGTCCTCCACATGGGTGTCAGGGGACTAAGCATTTGAGTCATCATCTGCTGCTGTCCAGGGTACATAGCAGGAACTGGATAGGAAGCGAAGTGGCTGGGTTTCCAACCAGTACACCTACATGGGATTCAAGCATTGCAAGGGATGGTTTAACCTGCTGCAACACAATACCTGCTCCATTTATAATGTACAGTCCTGTTCTGAGAATAATGTTTGTCTTGCCTTTCCTGAGTCAATCGAGAAATGTTTAATGAATTAGCAGAGTAAGAAGGGTCAAATTATTTGTTTCTGTTCTGCTCAACAGGAATAGAAAAGTCAGTAAATTCTTTCCAGATAGTTGAGTTGAATGGCCAAAATCACAATGCCATTTCCTGCTTCGTGCTGTTTCCATTTGGTAAGACAGCATTGGTCACCATGTTCTTAGTATTGCTTTTCAGGGATGTCATTCGCACTGCGGAAGAGCTGAGTAGGTAGCTGGTTGATCTTTCTGGAAAGGACTTCCTCCCACAACAGAGCTGGCTATTGAAATGCTTCCGGAAGCTTTCACTGAGTAGATAAAGAGCAAATGGATTGACACAAGAATTGCAAAAACTCAGAACCCTGGCAACCAAGGTGACAATCATGTGTCCTAGAGATGGGTCAATCTCCTTATAGTTGAAAGATCTATACATGTAGAGGATATGATTTGGGAACCAACAGAAGGCAAAGCATCCCACAAAGACCAGTACAATCTTAGCCAGGCGTTTCCGTGTTTCCATCTGCAATATAAGGAAATAGTCCCATTGGTTAAAATGAAAATGGACCCAGCCACATTTAAACTTATAATGTCACAAAAGGAGTAAAAGTCATAGCATAAACAATATATCTGAAATATGTGAATTATTTATTTTCTTTCTCAAAGTGATGATGTTAATAGTTTGAAAAACCCATTTTGATCACGATGCTATTTTCATTTAACAATATATTATAGCTTATACAATATTAGAAGAGAAATTATTAATAAATGGCTATGTATTCATGTGAAAACTGTAATCTTCAAAAATTAACTTATTTTGAGCTCTTTTCCTTTTGCTTAGTCTCTTTGTGTTGATATTAAAAATAACTCATTTCTATTTGTATTAAATACATTAAATTAATAGGGTGGAAGAAATGCAAGCTTAGATACTTTTCAAAACACAAGGTAGTTTACACTTTATTATTTTTGGCTTTATTTGAGAGGCAGAACAAGAGAGACAGAGAAAAAACATCTCTCATTTACTGGTTCATTCCCCAAATGCCCACAACAGCTGAGTCTGGACTGGGGCTGAGGCCTAGAATTTGGAACGCCATCCAGATCTCCCATATGCGTGGCAGAACACAAATACTTGAATCATCACTGCTGCCTCCAAGGATCCACACTGATAGGAAGCTGGAATCAGGAGCTGGAACCAGGAATCAAACCCAGGCACTCTCATGTGAGAGATATTTTAAATAAGGAAAATAGATTCATTGAAACAGACTGACATTTTTAATTCCTACTTCATAAAAAAAGAATTTGAGATTTAAACTCTTGATTCAAGTGAAAGCACCTGATATAAGTGCAAAATCAAACAAACATTATTATCTTAGGTCACCTTTACAAATAAAAATGCATTTTCTTGTTTAATAAAATGTGACACTGTGTTTACTTTTTTATAAGGTTTTCATAAATGTGATAAATAGAAAAAATTCAAATACTGGATATAGCATTTTAATCTAAAAATAATTTCCTAACATCCATAGTCCAAGGTTTAATTCATGCTTGTCTAACTTGTTTAAATATTTAAATAGAGAAATGGAAACATTAAGTCACAATTCACCAAAAAACACACTAATGGTAGGCATCATGATATTTTCTGATCTAATACTCTTGTCCATCAGTTAGAATTTCCAGAAACCAATGAAAAGTTTAGGATTGGAACAAAGCTGATGTCGATGAGTGACAGAGATTGGTGATGAGGAAGCAAAAGAAGGTGCAAATAAAGAGGAGTACAATTCAAGACACAAATGAGAGAGCACTTCAGAAAGTTCATGAAAAACTAGAATTAAAAGGGTTTAATTTTGGTGCATTTTCCATGACCTTCGTGAAGTACTGTCACATGGTACTACAGATATTTTCCAATGCCGTCGGCTATGCATCCTGGAAGTTCTAAGGAGGTCAAATGTGAACTGTTTATTTCTAAGCAGTGTCCTCTCTAAACAGTGGAGCATGGATGCAAGAATGTCACAGCTATCTGCACATGGAGACTCTAGTGCATAGGCAGGCTGTTGACATTGAGATTACCTCTTGGCAAATATTAAGACCCACTGGCCCAGTAGGGAGGAGACTCACCAAGACAAAGAGAACCAAGGCCATTTTTTCAAAAAGTGGGGTAGAGTTTGTGTGCGCGAGAGAAACTCAACCTTAGATATCAAAAGCCAAAACTTGCATTCCCAAAATTGAGATACAAATTGAATCAAAGGACCCCAAATAAAGAACAGTTTATGTACAGCAAAAAGCACAGTGAGCCCAGGGCATGGATATTTTGTTTCAGGGGCATCAGATATTTAAATAATAAATCTACTAATTTACCTATCAATACTTTCAATAGCTGATTAATTTTTAAGTATTTAAAGCAGATGTTGATCTTCGATGTCCATGGGCATTCAAAAGGTTACTTTCCATGCAGGAAACATTTACCCACTTCTACTGTTGCTAAAGTATACAGGACCCCCACCAATTACCCCATCTATGTCTCAGAAAATATTAATAGTCTGAGATTCCATTTGTTTGCCATCAAATTGAGAACAGGCACCCATGACCTCCCTGTACCTACAGAACATTTTAGAAGTTCTGCTCTAGGTGTACACAAACGTATAACCAGAAACTTCCCACAAGAACATTATTTCTGTATGTTTGTGGATTAACACAATGAGTTTTCACCTGAAATCATTACTGCATATTTTTAGGGAACAAAAAAGATATACAGTGTATGCTGTATTTTTATGTTGGTAAAATTTGAGAATCCCTAATCCCAAATGTCCCAGATCCCAAAATGTCCCAAAATCCAAAATCATTTTGAATTTTCAGATTTTCAGAATAAGGTAAAGTCTGTGCAAATATTCTCAAATCTGAAAAACTAATAAGTTTAAAACTCTTCTGGTCCCAAGCACTTTGAATAATGATATTAAATTTATAAGTAATCTCTGGATCATACTCATTCTCTTTCTGCTGTTCTCACTTTTTCCTGACCCTCTCACTCTGGCATCCAACCCAAGTCTCATTCCCAGGTTCCAGGGTCAGTGTCACACAGCCCTTTCCTGATAGATCCTTCTTTACAAATTATTTAGTGGCCTAATGACAGAAATGTATACTGACTAGGTTAAATTGTTTTGGCTTACTATGTTCTTTGCATAAACTTTTGCACAAAAAGAGAGGCCTTCAAAGGCATTAATTTCTAATGATGAGATTCCTGGTCTTGTCACAAACCCAGTTGGGGCTTTGAGGGGCTATGGCATAACCATATACTAGAGATCCCCCCAAAACACTTCTAGTTAAGGCTAGCGTAGTGCAGGTGCAACTCTTCTAATCAAATCCAGTATTGAGAGCCCATGAAACAGAACATTGACCGATACACCCACAGCACACATACCTACTAACCTTACCTGCTTTTTGGTATGTTCATTGTATTCTCCAGGAAGATTATGTGCACTTTTAATTAAGGTCTTTGCAATGTGATAATAATAAACACTAATAATAGTAAGTGGTATGAGAAAATAGACCAAGAAAATGAGCACTGAATGAATCTTTGGATGTAATTCGTCTGTCTGAGGGTAGGGTATACACGCTGTGAAACTGCTGTTATCCAAGCTACTGATGCGCACCACTTCCGAAAACACAGCTTCAGGTACTGCCAACAACACAGAGACCACCCAGATGCCCACGACTTTCACACAGGTCCACAGCAGCGCCCCTGATGTCTGCATATCCATAGGGTTTACAATGGCTCTGTACCTGGGAAAGCAAATATGTCTCAAGTTACTCTGTGAAAAGGAGGGAAGGGTTGGGGAGTAGACATCTTACTTGATGACAGAAGTATTAATACCCCGTTAGTCCCTGGTTGTCTTAAAGTCCCCATGTCTGTGTACAAGCAAGTAATTTCACTGCATATAACACAGGAAGATAGAAGCAAATAATTTAAAATGACATCTCCCAAATTGTGATCATTTGCTTAATTCTTTCACAAGTACTTTCAAAGTTACGCATACTATCATCCTTCACTGAATATCATTAATTATCTAATATTTTAAGTGTTTTATTTTCAAAAAGTTATTATTACTGTAATTTTTATAAATGCACAATAATCTTCTATAGCTTTTGCTATAGAGACCTGCCACTGTTTTTCCTAAGGACATGAATAAGTTAGAGAAAAATAGAGACTGAAAATTTTTGTCTATAAATATGAAGACTGAAAGAATAGCAAGTCAAACAATATCCTATTCTCTCTCTCTTTCTCTCTCTCTCTTTCCCTTCCTCCCCTTTTTCTCTCTCCCCTTCTCATCTTGTTGCTGGTGACATTTCCAGCCCCTCCAGGGGAAGGAGAGTTCACAAAGTGGAACACCACATGTGAAACATGAAACGCATAGAAATTAAGGAAGAATAACAGCAAAAAGCCTAAATGCCAACTTAAAAAAATAACACATATCATGACATTTATCCATGTCCTACATGGTGATACTCAATAGGTAGGTATTTCCTTCCCTGTATACTTTGTAATTACATGTAATGAAGAGATTGAAAATACTATTAATTCATAACTAAAATGAACTATTTTATGTTATTTAATCAGATTAATGTGTCTGTTTTAATCAGAAAACAGAGGTTACTGTAAATAAATGTAAAAGTCCCTATTTCAATTCATGTTCCACTCCTGAACCAAAACAAATCTCATATCATTACCTCCATACTTCTAAGGAATATAATTCTATCACTGTTCCACTGTTTCTCAAATTAACTATATTGCCTGACATCCTTTCATGGTAATTGAAAATATTTCTCTCTTAGATATCTTCTACTCTTCCATTCTAAATGTCCTGATTTAGTAATCAATATAGTTTTTATATAGTTAAATACATAATTACTGTGACTAGAATAGTGAGTAGTGTTTTATGATGATGCTTTATGGTGATGCACTTTTTGTACACATCTCTGATTTCCCTAGAGTTAACTCATGTTCGTTTTTTATTTTACATAATTTCCATGTATCTGACTTTAACTTTTTAAAAGTTCTTATACTACTTTCCTGCATGGTATTTTCTACTTCTTTAATTTTAATGTGTCTTTTTACTTTTTTTAAGATTTATTTTATTTATTTGAAAGACAGAGTTACAGAGAGAGGTAGAAACAGAGAGAGAACTCTTCCATCCGCTGGTTCAGCCCCAGATGGCCGCAACGGCCAGAGCTGTGCCGATCCAAAGCCAGGAGCCAGGAGCTTCTTCTGGGTCTCCCAATTGGTGCAGGGGCCCAAGGACTTTGGCCATCTTCTACTGCTTTCCAGGCCATACTAGAGAGCTGGATTGGAAGAAGAGCAGCCAGGACACAAACTGGCATCCATATGGGATGCCGGCACTTCAGGCCAGGGCTTTAACCTGCTGTGCCACAGCGCCAGCCCCAATGTGTCTTTTTTTCTTAGTATTTTTCATATCTATGAAGCATATCTCCACCTCTTTCTTCATTTACCTTCTAATATGTTCTGTGCTTTAGCGTCCATCTCTTTTTCTGAATACTTAATTTCTGCTACCATATTTTCTTTTTCTTAAAATTCTTTGTTTTTAAAGCTTTCATCTTTCATAGTATACCATTCCTATTATATGTTTATAGTCTTGTTGTATTACTTATGAAATTAATACAGAAAAAAATTGAATCATCTCTTGCTGACATGGTTCAGGGTTTTATTTGTGTAGTGCCTTTGGCCTTGTTTGTCTTCCCAAAAGTTAATATTGATTGACAATTCATATTTAATAGCAAAGTACCAAAAACTACTAAATTATTTTTATGTGGATAAGAGTGTAGAGAAGTGATTACTACAAATAGATTGTGCTCTTTTTAGTTTATCAAGAAACTCAAAAGCTAGTCACTTCTCTACCCCATATCTGAACGCATACTATTGGAGAGGCTCTGTCTCAGCAGATTGGGGCTGCTGTAATAAAACGCCACAGTCCAGGTGACTCACAAACAACACAAGCTTAGTGATCACAGTTCTGGAGACTTGGCAGTCCAAGATCAAGGTGCTGGCAGAGTCAGTGTTTGGTGAGCGACTCCTTACTGGCACAAAGACAATGCCTTGTCACTACTTCCTCATAGTGCTTCCACTATGGGTCTCTCAGTCTCTTTTATAAGGACTTTTATCTCATCTATAGGACCCCTCTCTCATGACCTAATCAACTTCAAAGGCTCCACCTCTTAATACTGTCACCTTCAGGGTTAGGGTTCCAACTTATGAATTCTGAGGATGTATAAGCATCCAGGATGTATCAGGCACTATGATCATAAAGGATGTTCAGAAAGTTGAAATAGAAATTAAAACCATAGAACTCTCGTTACAATAAGATTTCTAGCCCAGAAAGAGCCTTCCTGATTTAGGGAAAGCAACACAGTGGGAGTGCAGGGCAGGATAGGGCAGGTCTTTTTTTTTTTTTTTTTTTTACAGGCAGAGTTAGACAGTGAGAGAGAGAGAGAGAGACAGAGAGAAAGGTCTTCCTTCCATAGGTTCACCCCCAAATGGCCATTACGGCCAGCGCACTGCGCCAATCCGAATCCAGGAGCCAGGTGCTTCCCCCTGGTCTCCCATGCAGGTGCAGGGCCCAAGCACTTTGGCCATCCTCCACTGCACTCCCGGGCCACAGCAGAAAGCTGGACTGGAAGAGGAGCAACCGGGACAGAATCCGGCACCCCAACCAGGACTAGAACCTGGAGTACTGGCACTGCAGGCGGAGGATTAGCCTAGTGAGCCGCACTGCCGGCCAGGGCAGGTCTTTTCAACAGGGATCATCCTAAAGCACCTCCTGTGAGAAAGAGAGGACAGACCCCAGGATAGCTCCTAAATCATATACACTTAACAAAAGTTCAGCATTGTAAAATCTACAAAACCAGAAATCATGGGTGAAAAATAAGAGATTACCAAAGTGTTGTTATCATTACTAAAGCATAGCTTTCATTTGTCAAAGAATATGTTACGAACTAACTAACCAATGATGGACAAAAAGCAAAAAAGCACCAGAGGACAAATCTTTCTAGTTATACTACTGTAGTTTATTTTTTTTTATTTTTCTTATAAGCATTTATTTCTTTCTTCAAGCAGGGAATAGGCCTACAACAAAGGGTCTAAGTGTGACCTATATGACAACAGGAAAGTTCTGCTCATTGTTGTATGTCTCATGGATAACACCACGCCTGATCCATAGTAGCTTCTCAATAAATGGTTGTTGAACTATTAATGCAAAGATGGCCTGAAAAACAAGGCGATCACTTATTAAGAGCAATTGCGGAGGAATGGGGTTGGAGTTATTAGACACTGCTCTGAAGTAGAAATGGTGCAGAGAAATGAAGACAGAGTCTACCCTAGTGCTGCCCAGAATGTGTCAATCTTCAAAATCACCCAGAAAATTTGTGAAAAAGAAAGATCGCTAGTATTTTTCTCCCCACACTTATTCATGTAGGGTCTTTAAGACAGGAAGTATGAGATTCTGCATTTCACTGATTTTCAGGTGACTCCAAGCATAAGCCAGGTGTTGAAACCCCCTTTCAAGAGGACCAAGTGTAACCACTAGCATCTTCCCCACAGGGTTCCTGCAAGGTTGTCCATGCAATGGCTGCCTGTTCAGCAGCAGCTTGGAGAGCATCTGGAAGCCAACAGAAGTCAGATATTTGAAAAATCAGATGCATGTCCTTCACAATATTTCCCATCACATTAACAACATTATTCTTATTTTGTAAATAAGAAAAACACTGCCTTACAAAAGTGTTTTTTTCTGTTTTGTTTTGTTTTGTTTTTTTTCTCCAAATAAGATATTTGGACATAGTGCAAGATCAGCACCCAGGTGTCATAAATACTCCACCTGGTGTACTGCCTCCTTACAGTGTATTCTACAGGTCTCAGGTTAAGACAGACAAATTATCAACAACTATAAAACAACACATGAATTCTAACAGTAATACGAATATTGTCAGAATTCTATAGTGTCTCCCTAATTCAATATAAAATGATCCTTCCTCCTGAAGAGACAGACAAAAGAAATAAGCAACAGAAGTTTGAGGTCAATGAATAAGTGATATTTAATTTATTGCATTGAAGTATAATGACTTTTAGTTAACAATAAATCATGAAATTTCAAATTAAAGTCAATAAAATCAAATGTAGGTATTATAATGGTTATGTAGAAATAGCAACTGAGCACTTGTTTTGAAAAGCTGATTTTTCTTTTTGAACTGGCAGCTAGAAAGCTTCTAGAAAAACCTATGACTCACTTTTGGCAACAGTGTCAGTCATCTTTTATTTTTCAACTTCCTACCCTTAGTTTCCTCTTTTTGTTTCTGTTGGATGTTGTCTGTATCTTTATTTTTAAGCTGCTTTAAATCCTTGGGAACAAACTGAAGAAAAGCAAGAATAGTCCATGGCCCAAGTGAAAGAGTCAAACTACATTTCCTTATCATTATTACTAAAATATTCATTCTATACTCACAAAACACATCCTATACGAAGGAAACAGCAACAACCAAAAGGCCAGGGAATATATGAGATTTAGCATTTTTCTCTGATCTTGACTGAGGGTTCCCCATGACAAAGGATTGAGAAAACTGGTGTGAAATAAACTCAAGACCTAGGTCTTGCTACTAATGTTGCATTCTAAAGCTGAAAGCACAATGATTGGAATCTTACTATTATTATAGCTGATCTTTAGGTTTTCCCCTAATAATAAGGTAGATTTTTTTTAACTTTTTAATTAAAATGGATGCCATAAATAGGGGCAGCTAAAGTAAAAAAGTCAAGTTTTAATTTTGATTTTCAAAGAAAACTTCTTTAAATCATTGAATAAGTGTGATATAAATGAAACGAGGTGCTTAATTTACATGACACCCAATTTTTCAGGGATATGGTTTTAGAGATATATTACATGAACTACACACTGAAATTTTCAACTCAAAATGATTATGGCTCTCAGCTCCTCACAGAATTATTTTCTTATCTTCAAAAATGCTTAACTCCAATCCAACAATAATGTAAGATAAAATTGGGAATAACAGGAAATTCATGTCCACAGTCCTTTTTCATTAATCATTTAATATATAAATTAAAGAGGAGAGTGAACATCAGTTTAATTATCTTTGTCAAATTGTTTAGCTAAATAGTTTAAGTCAGGCTCCCATTCCCCAGGGAATTGGATCACAGCTTTGTGTAATGATGTCTAATTATACATATGGCCCCACTCCCTCTCAGACGTTACCTCCTGCATAGATATCGGGGAATGATAGTACTGAATCCCAAGTTAGGAAGCCTAGATATTCCTCCCAGCTCTTCCAGGAAGTCTTACATTCCCTGGACTTCAATATTCACACCTAGAAAATGACAAGGTTAAACTCTTTGATCTGCAAGATAGAAAATAGAAAACTTCACACACTTAAGATATGTGGGAAGCAGATCTGATATGAAGGATGGATTTTTCCAGCATTGTTTTAAGATACTAAAAGTTAGCACCTATATGTGAAAAATATGTATTTCCTAACTTGAAGTATAAAACAAGAATGTGACATGTGAACTATGTGAACTGTCTGAAGATCATTTATAATTATAATTTTTTGCTTCAAATAAGTAATATAATTCAGTTAATAAATGTAAATGATGTCTCCTAATATTTGAGAGAAAAAGAAAATTAAGCATTTGGCTAACATAAGCAAACATTATTACCTATCAGATTATTATCCTACTGAATAAGGAAAATGCACGTCTAAGATTTAGGAACACATATAATTACTAGATAGTTGCATTTTTGCATGTTTATTCTATAGCTTTTCTATGAAATACATAATAAAGGTCCCAAAGTGGCTGCAGACAAGAAGGTCCAGGAAATGCAATTTTAAACCTACTTTCAAACTAATGCAATTTTAAGTATTCTTAAAGTAATAGTTATATTATTTCTTTTTCAATTTTTATTTAAGGTATACAAAGTTCATGTATTGCATGTATATAGATTCAGGACATAGTGATACTTCCACCCTACCCTCCCTCCCACCTTCCTCCTCCCTCTCCGATTCCCATTCATTTTTTCTACAAAGATCTATTTTCAGTTAACTTTATACTCATAAGATTAACCCTACATTAAGAGTTAAACAAACAGTATGAAGGGGAAAAAAGAAAAAGAAAAAAACACTGCTCCTCCACAGTCCAGAAAAGCAAGGGCTGTTAAAAATCATCTCACAGCGTCAGTTTCCCTCCTGTAGGTTACTTTTTAGGTACTCTACTGGTTACCGAACTTCACAGCTCAGTCCACCCTTACTCCTTTGACTCTACTTCCTGGATACTCTGTTCCTCTCCATCCCCAGCCTCTCCCCACCCACACCCTAACCTCCCCTCTCCACCACTTTTCTAGGCCACCTCATGCTACCTGCGCTCTCACCTGTCCGCGCTGAGGGCAGTGAGAGTGAACACAGAGACGCCCACGGAGGTGAGCTGGATGGCCGGGATCAGCCTGCAGCCCACTTGGCCGAACATCCACTCGTCAAAGAAGTAGCGCGAGGCGTCCACCGGGACGCAGGTGAGCAGCAGCAGCAAGTCACCAGCCGCCAGGTTGGAGATGAAGATGTTGGGGACGCTCCTCATGGCGCTGTTGCTGATGAAGATCTTCACCAGGAGGATGTTGCCGAGCAAACCCACCGTGATGATGCACAGGTAGAGCGACGGGATCACGCCGCGGATCACCAGCTCGGCGGTGGACCCGTCGGGGGCAGGCAGGAAATCCCTTTCCCACACCTCGGGAAACAGACTGCTCTGATTCGCGCTGGTGCCCTGGGAATGGCTAGGAAGGGACGTGGCGGGCATGGTCTCTGCTCCGGAAGAGTGCACCAGAGTTGTCATGCACTCTGGTGCCCTGCAAAGTGCAAAGCTCACGACTTGGCGTTAAGCGATTACCCCCTGGCCCCTGCAGGTTTAGGACCGCGGGGCAGTTGTTGCAGCGCCACGTCCCGAGCAGGACAGGACCCCGGAAGACATCGGTGTTCACTTTCAGAATCTCCACTCTCCAAGGGATACCTTGGCTCCTGCTAGCTCTGAATTTAAAAACGGCAAGGAGGGCGGAGGAGCGGCAAGGCAGCTGCGTCTCAGTTTCTTCTTCGGTAGTTTGTTCTAGCTTGCAGCTAGCAGAGACCAGTCCCTTGGAAAACGAGAATCTGTTCCTCTGGGGTTCGCAGAAGCACCTGCCCTGCCCAGAACCGGGCAGGCAGGAGCGGAAGTGACCCGGGAGCTGTCCAACCAGCCGCCGCTGAATCGCTGGGGGCGACGTGGAACCGTGGGCACTTTGTTCGCCCCGCAGTTCCTACTGTATTATGTGGACCTGGAGGGGCGCTGATTCCTCGCTCTCCCACCCTGTGTCCCTACAGCCACCCATCTTTGCCCGCCTCTAAGCGGGAGGAGCCCCAGGCAAGAAGTTTGGGAGGATTTGGGCGTTGCTCAAATCCCTGATGTTTAAAGGCTTAATTTAGGAATGAAAGTGGTGACAAAGGGTGAATGAAATGAATGGAATTCCCTCTCCGTGCTTCTTCCTTTCACTCTGCCAAATGTGAAACAGTTTTCTACAGTTGGCAATATTACTTTTAGTTATAGGTTATTAACTGTAGTGCCCAGTCTAGCCGCTATTCAGAACAGTCCTCTAACCATCCTCTCTCAGCCTGTTACTGTCTTAGATTATTTTGCTTTCCCAGAGAATGGATTGAATGGAATCATTCAGTAAACTTTTGTATCTAGCTTCTTTCATTCACCATTACATATCTGAGATCCACCCCCCCAATAATTTTTTGTGTAAGATTTTTATTGCTGTGTGGTATTCAATTTTATAAATATCTCATTTATTTTTCCATTCTAGTGTTGACAGACATTTGGATACTTTAAAATTTCAGCCTATTTAAATAATGTTTCCACGGATATTCTTGTATGTGCCTTCCGGTACACATCTGAATAAATTTCAGGTATGGATTTGCTAGGTCACAGTGTGTGAATACACTCAGCCTTAGTAAAAACTGACAGTTTTTCAAGATGAATTGGAAATTTTTCTCTTCTTTTAGAAACTGACTTGAGAATCTCTATTAAGACTGAACAAATGTATGCCTATGATGGAGCAATGTAACACCTAGGTATATACTAAATAAATATCTAATATACTATTTTAAGTCATTTATTTATTTATTCAGTTAGCTAGTTAGAAAGAAGACCAACAGAGAGAGATCTTCCACCCACTAGTTCATCTCCAAATGCCCACAACAGGTAGAGTTGGACTAGGATAAACCCAGGTGCTTGGAACCCAATCTGATCTCTCACACAGGTATCAAGGACTCAGTAGCTTGAGCCATCTCCTGCTGCCTCCTAGGGTATGCATTAGCAGGAAGCTAGACTAGGATACAAAACCAGAACTGGAACCCAAGCACTCCAATGTAAGCAAGCATTGCAGGTGACATCTTAATTGGTGCACCAACATCCCACCCTTGATATACTATTTTTTTTTTTGGACAGGCAGAGTGGACAGTGAGAGAGAGAGACAGAGAGAAAGGTCTTCCTTTTGCCATTGGTTCACCCTCCAATGGCCGCCACGGCACACCGCGCTGCTCCGAAGGCAGGAGCCAGGTGCTTCTCCTGGTCTCCCATGGGGTGCAGGGCCCAAGCACTTGGGCCATCCTCCACTGCCTTCCCAGGCCACAGCATAGAGCTGGCCTGGAAGAGGGGCAACCAGTAAAGAATCCAGCTCCCCGACAGGGACTAGAACCCTGTGTGCCGGCGCCGCTAGGTGGAGGATTAGCCTATTGAGCCGCGGCGCTGGCCTGATATACTATTTTAAACAGGATGGTTCCAACAATAAAATAATTGCTTAAACTCTCACCATTTGAGCCTTACATCAATTATCCATAATGGTTACCCAGCTCTGGAGTTAGCTAAATAATATTCTTTTTCATTAAAAAAAAGCATTTGGCTAGTTTTTGTTTATTAAAGGATAAATTTGTTCAAGAACAAGGAAATTAACCAAGGATTACCTACAATGATCTAGTCATAAACTGATAAAATGTGTACCTGTACAAAGTCATTTATAAATTAAGCCATATTTTCAGATATTTTCCACCAAGAACAGTGTTTCATTATCATTGTTGAATTAGACAAGGCAGACATCGGCTTTGTAATCAATTTTATGTTCACTAATTCACTTAAAAGTTCATATGACCTTTCTTATATTTCACTGCTTGAAATAATGCACAAACCATAGGGTTTGTGATAGCTAATATAGAGAGAAAAAACACCCTTAACATATGAGTGAAAATGATATCTTGGGAATTGATTATTGTTTATAGCCCTTGTCTATATTCCTACTGAACGAAGGCCTTCGTACCTATTACTTGAACTCTATTTAGTGGAGTATTAAGCCTGTTATTACAAAGTAAATTTAAAATGTTATTGCAAAAAGCAATTTTTTAAAAAATAAAATAAACAGAGTAATAGTACACTGTGAGAAATTTTAAGTGGTTCATTATGATTATAACTGAGCCCTTAAAAGGACAAGACAGAAAGAAATAAGAAAAAAATATTTTTGAAGAAATAATAGCCCCAGAGCCTGCACTGTGGCATCCTAGGTTAAGCCACTGCCTGTGGCCCCGGCATCCTTTATGGGTGCCAGTTCAAGTCCCAGCCACTCCACTTCTGATCTAGCTCCCTGCTAATGGCCTGGAAAAGCAGTGGAAGATGGCCCAACTGCTTGGGCTCCTGCACCTACGTGGGAGACCCAGGAGAAGCTCCTCACTCCTGGCTTCAGATTGGCTCAGCTCCAGCCATTACGGCCATTTGGGGAGGAGTGAACCAGCGGATGAAAGACTTCACTCTCTGAATCTCCCTCTCTCTATCTGTAACTCTTCTTCTCAAATAAGTAAATAAATCTTTAAAAGAAAAAAAAAGAAAGAATAGCCCCAAATTTTCCATATTTAATTAAAGCTAAAATTCCTCCTAACCAAGAAGTTTGATAAACCACAAGCAGAAGAAACATAAATTCTACCAAGATGAGAAACAAAGCTTTACCACTTAGACCAGAACCAAGGAAAGGATAACCTCTCTCCTCAATCCTTTTCAGCACTCTACTAGAAGTGCTAGCCAATGAAATGGACAAGGGAAAGAAATGAGAGGTAAATTGGCTAAGCAGACATAAAATTGTCTTTGTTCACAGATTTGCATGATTGTTTAATGTCAAAAATCCGTAACAACAGACCAAAACCCTCTTTCCACTAGGAAAAAATTATGCAAGGTTACAAGATACAAAGTTAATATACACAACTCAATTGTTTTCCTGTATAAGAAATGTCTTCAAAAAGGTCATGGAAGTGAAATTAAGCAGGGATATTAAAAATTTCTGCACCAAAATAATATTTTTTAAATCTACATTCCCACGACCTTTCAGAGAACCTTCATCTACCCTTGATGTTTGACTGGAATTTTAAATTAAAAATACTAAAACATTACAAATATTTAGAAAATAAAATATTTTGGTATAAATTAATAAAATCTGCACAAGATCTATATAAGAAAAACTGCAACACTCTAATGAGTGAAAGCAAAGAACTAAATAAACGGAGAAAGCCGGTGCCGTGGCTCAATAGGCTAATCCTCCGCCTGCGGCGCCGGCACACTGGGTTCTAGTCCCGGTCAGGGCGCCGGATTCTGTACCGGTTGCCCCTCTTCCAGACCAGCCCTCTGCTATGGCCCAGGAGTGCAGTGGAGGATGGCCCAAGTGCTTGGGCCCTGCACCCCATGGGAGACCAGGAGAGGCACCTGACTCCTGGTTTCAGATCAGCGCAATGCGCCAGCCGCAGCGCGCCAGCCGCGGTGGCCATTGGAGGGTGAACCAATGGCAAAAGGAAGACCTTTCTCTCTGTCTCTCTCTCACTGTCCACTCTGCCTGTCAAAAAAATAAATAAATAAATAAACGGAGACAATATCTCCTATTCACAGATGAGAAGACTAAATGTTGTCAATAGTATTTTTCCATGCCATTTTTATAGATTCTAGGAAGTATCAATCAAAATCCCTGCAAGGTAATTGGTGGGTATCAAAAAACTGATTCCAAGTTTACGTGGAGAAGTACAAGATCCAGAACAGCCAACACAACATTAAAGAAGAAAGTTGGAGGACACGTCCTGCCTGACTTGAAGCACATTGTAAACCTACAGTAATCAAGAAAATGTGGTATTGTCAAAAGTACAGACAAGTAAATGACTGGAACAGAATAAAGTGCCCAGATGTAGACCCATATTAACACAGTCAACTGATCTATGACAAAATAACAAAGACAATATAATAGTTTTTGCAACAAATGGTGGTGCAACGGTTGGATATCCAAATGCAAATAATAATAATAATAATAATAAACCAGAGACTGACCCTACACCCTACACCCTACATACACACAGTAACTCCAAATGAATCATAGACCCAAACGTATATTTAAAAACAAAAAAAGCCATTAAACTCCTAGAAGTTCACAAAGGAGAAAAAAAAATCAAATCCAAGTAATTCTTAGATGTAACACCAAAGACAGAATCAATGAAAAAATTACTAATAAGTAGTATTTAAATGCTTAATCAACATAGAATGGCGGATGTCCTAAATAGCATTCTGGCCTCAGAATCAGCCCTAAAGGCACTCGGATCTGGCTGAAAAGCCCATGAGAGTATTTCAGGCATGGAAAGCCAAGACACTCTGGCAAAAAGATCTCTGTGAGTGAGATCCCAGTGGAAAGAACAGGTCTTCAAAGAGGGAGGTGCCTTTCTCTGAAGGGAGGAGAGAACCTCCACTTTGACTATGGCCGTGTCTAAACAAGATAAGAGTCGGAGAACTCAAGGGGCTTCCATAGCCTTGGAAACTCATGACTGGTGCATAGGGAGATTACTGATGCCATAAACAGGAGTGTCAATTTGTAAAGTCAACAACAGGAGTCACTGTGCACTTACTCCTCATGTAGGATCTCTGTCCTTAATGTGCTGTGCATTGAGATTTAATGCTATAACGAGTACTCAAACAGTATATTTCACTTTGTGTTTCTATGGGGGTGCAAACGATTGAAATCTTTACTTAATGTACACTAAACTGATCTTCTGTAAAAAAAAAAAAAAAAAAAAAAAAAAAAAGAAAATTATCAATTCCCCAACTTTGAATCTCACCTGGGGATTAAACATGACAATAGGTCTGATCTGATCTCATCATCATTTAAAAAAAATCATCTATTATTTTTCACTTTATGTTTCTGTGTGGGAGCAAACTGTTGAAATCCTTACTTAAGGTATACTAAGCTGATCTTCTGTATATTAAGATAATCGAAAATGAATCTTGATGTGAATGGAAGGGGAGAGGGAGTGGGAAAGGGGAGGGTTGTGGGTGGGAGGGACGGTATGGGGGGGGAAGCCATTGTAACCCATGAGTCGTACTTTGGAAATTTATATTCATTAAATAAAAGATAAAAAATAAATAAATAAATGCTTAATCAAAATTTAAAATTTTTGTACTGCAAAAGTCACTGTCGAGAAAATGAAAATAAATATCACAGACTGCGATCTGTGATCTAAATCATGACCAATATTACAAGGAACTATTGCAATTCAAAATATACAAGATATACCAATAATTATTAAAATTAAAATTTAAAAATAAGAAAATGAACAGTCCAATGAAAAAAAGTGAACCTGAGACTTTAATAGGCACTTCAGCAAAAATTCATACAGATGCAAATGACGAGTGAAAGATGTTCCATATCATATCGTCCTAGGAAATTGCATGTTAAAACAACATATAGGCCAGCACTGTGGCTCAATAGGCTAATCCTCTGCCTTGCGGTGCCGGCACACCAGGTTCTAGTCCCGGGCAGGGTGCCGGATTCTGTCCCGGTTGCCCCTCTTCCAGGCCAGTTCTCTGCTATGGCCAGGGAGTGCAGTGGAGGATGGCCCAAGTGCTTGGGCCCTGCACCCCATGGGAGACCAGGAGAAGCACCTGGCTCCTGCCTTCAGATCAGCGCGGTGCACCGGCGGCCATTGGAGGGTGAACCAATGGCAAAAGGAAGACCTTTCTCTCTGTCTCTCTCTCTCACTGTCCACTCTGCCTGTCAAAAAAAAAAAAAAAAAAAAACATGTAATACCCCTATATATTTACAAGATGGCTGAAATACAAACCATTGAAAATATCAAATTCTAAGGAGGCTGTAGAAGAACAGAGATCCTCATTTATTGATGGTGGGAATGTCAAATTTGGAAGATAGTTTGGCAATTTCTTACAGAACTAATCATTCCCTCGTCACATAATCTAGCAATCATAAACCTTGGTATATCCAAAAGAGTTGGAAATCTGTATCTATCCCAAAACCTGCATAAGGATATTTGTAGCAGCTTCGTTCATAAATGGCTAAAACTTGGAAGCAACCAAGATGACCTTCAGTAGGAAAATGGATAAATTATGATATATCAGACAATAGAAAATTATTTGGTACTAAAAGGAAATAAGGTGATGAGCATTGAAAAGACCCAACAGAAATTTAAATGTGTTACTAAATGAAACAAGTCAATGTGAAAAGGTTAAACACCATACAATTCCAACTATATGACAATATGGAAAATATGGAGAAAGAAAATATCTGGGGACAGAAAAATATTAGTGGCCACCAGCAATGAGGGGGCAGAGAAAGTGTAGCACAGAGAATTTTAATTCAGTAAAACTACCCTTGGTGATACCATAAAGATAG